GGTATTATGTTATAAGGGTAATTTCACAGAGTCAATTCTTGATGTTTTTAGCCTGGGCTGATGGTTCATTCTGGTTCAGAGTATTGCTTATGATGCTGGGGTTTTGGTTTGCCCCAGAAACTTGTAGATGTTTTGATTTTTATTTATTCCCCCCCCCCCCGAATATCTGCATGCTTCTGAAAAATAAGAGTTGATCACAGAGCTCCTTAACTGGCATTTCTATTTCTGGAGTCATCTATTACATGGTTCGAATTGTAGCTAGTGTCAGTGGAGGACTGAAATCGTTCAGGCTACTTCTAGGCCATATATCACTGTGATGGTCCCAGAAGTTTAATCTGCTATTTACAGTTTAAAATAGCACCATTCGTTCCTGGGCGGACCTGTGCACAGAGCTATCATGATGTGCCTTTCACTGGAATTTGCAGTTGTGTATATTTGGTTCTGGAAGCTATTTCTCAAAGGTTGGGAGCAGTAAATAGTGTGTAACAGTAAGGAAATGCACCAGACAAAAAGGCATTGTCTTCAGAGATGCTTCTTTCCTGTGATGGTAGACTTGGACCTTAGTCCTGAACTGCAGGTTGTGAAAGTAGGACTGGTGCTTATTTTGACTTTCCATGTTGAGCTTCTATTCTTTTGTACTAAAAGAAGCTTTGTTTTTTAACAGCAGCCAAGAGAGGAGTGTTTGACCTTTTTGACAGGGTAAAAGATACATATATGTATCTTGTAGCAGTAATTCAAAGTCACCTAGGTGTTGCTTGGATGGAAGGTTAGTAATCAGATGAGAGAAGATGCCTAGCTGTGTGGTGCTGATCAGGATGAGGAATCTGGTTTTAAGGTTACAGCACTTCGAACAGGAGCTCTGCACTGAAAAATACCTCTTCTTGCAGGCAGTTCCAGGGCTGCGTCTTTGCACTGGACAGGTGAGCGAGCTGTCAGTGTCCTTTTGCTGGGTCTCCTTCCTGCAGCCTACCTGTATCCTGGACCAGCCATGGACTATTCACTGGCTGCAGCCCTTACTCTCCATGGCCACTGGTAAGCACAATAGGTTCTTCAGAATTAAGAGTAAAGTCCAATAGTCAAGATGACTCCTTAAGTCTTAAATCTGTGTATGATAGTAAGTCTATTGGCTCATTTCCTGATCTAGTGTTAAATACCTTACTCTCAGAAGTTCTGCGACAGTCATGGTCTTTGACAAGACTAGTCATACCTTGGTCTTCCTTTGCCACTCTTCCTCTCAGTCAGAAGGCAGGATAGATATTACTACAGAAAAATCCATAAACATTCTTCAGTGCTCTACGCAGCGTCTTACTTAAGAGGGCTTTCTTGCCACTGGCTATGTAGAATCTTGACATTTTAATCTTGTAGAAGTTACACCTAAAGGTGTTACGATGTAGGAAAATTCCCTTCTACTTTCATAGGGCTAGAATATCTTTAAAAGGTAATGCTTGCCATGAATGTTAATTTTATTGCCTTACAGATCAGGCAATCCTTATAGCTGAACAGAAACTGCAGAGGAGTATTGTGTATGTTTCTGAGGTGTCTTCTTTCACCTGTTGCTACCTTTTTGCTTAGGAAATCTTGTCCTAAAGTATTGTCGTGGGTTTGAAATAGTGCTTTAGGTATTTAGGTGGTTATCAGTCCAAACACTAACCTATGAGTAGACTTACTCAAGATACCTGAGCTGTGTTTATCTTGTACCATTTTTGGTGAAGCCTCACTGTTGTGTGTCTACTGCACATCAGCTGTTTCTCACCAATTCTCTTCCTTGTTCTTGGGGACACTGCTCTTTTCCCATGAGGGCTTTTGTGAATTAATGAGTGTGTTGTAAAGTCACACACCACTTTTTCTGAAAAGTCTTAGCATGGCTCAGTCTTATTCTGCCATATGAAGATCTTATGAAAATCCCTTATCAACAGTACAGTTGAAGGGCAGCTTGTGAATCCTAAGTTGACTATGATTTATTTATCCACCCTTTTGAAGGCTTGAAGTGTGGGTAAGGGCTGGTTTCACTCATGACTTTATTCTACTGTCCAGTTGTAAAAATAGCTGTAGTAGTTTGAGAGTAGTTGCCTTTCTACTGCTTCCACATCAGGCTTCTGTTCTGTGTATCTAGGGGTTCCTTGTGACTCTTTTCTTGCTTTTGACTATGGTATTAGAGCCCCATCTAAGTGAAACTGAGCTCAGTGCTCACTTGCAGTGACATCTGCTGCAACAGGACTTTGAATTTTACTACATCACTAGTGTGTTTTCTTTATCTGTGGGACACAAATCCTTCAGTTTCAGGTCAGACCAAGGCAAAATCTTAGGAAAAAAATTGTTGCATTAAATATGGATCTCTTTTTAACCAGGTTGACATCTGTCATTGCACAAAGCAAATACAATTGTCCTTTTGTACAAGAGAACTTGTACAAAATAGTACAAGAGAACTACCGTGTTAGTTTAATAGCATCCTCTGTCTTCCTGTTGCTGGATAGCCTAAACCTGGATGAGAGTTTACTTGTAGTCAGTCAGATGTAGAAAAAAATAATCAAAGTATCCTAATTTTTTTTGTTGCAACTATTTTTTAATCTAAATACACATCCTGGAGTCTTCTGTGTATTTGTGACTGGTCCTAGAACAACACCTTGCTGATGAAGCAAGAGGGATATTTCCTTTGGTTCCTTTTCTTCAGTCCTAGAAAGTCTGACAAGCTTCCCAGTGTTTCTTGGAGGCAAATTCTGCAGATTCTGTTATCTGAAAGAGCTGTGTTTCCTCAGTATCATTAAGAAACCTCTGAGCCAACGTGTATTTTTTTTAAATAGAATAATGGAGTGAATTTCATTAAGGAATGTGCTTTCCTGATTCCATCTTTTTTCTTCTTGTTCTGTAGGGGTCTTGGACAGGTTATAACTGACTACGTCCATGGAGATACACCTATTAAACTGGCAAATACGGGTCTGTATGTACTGTCGGCCATTACCTTTGCTGGCCTCTGCTACTTTAACTATCATGATGTTGGTATCTGCAAGGCTGTTGCTATGCTGTGGAGCCTCTAAGAAGTGATGAAGTCCCTGACAAACATGATTGTTCACTGCTGCCTCTGCTTCATCATATTTCTGTCAACATGTTTAATGCGAAACAAATTGGTAACCAAGGATCCATAGTGTGTACATACTGCAGCAACTTCAGAACTAGACTTTTAGAAATAAATACCAACAGCAGTAAAGATGTTAGAAAAGAAAAAGTAAATTTAAAGTGGATGAACTCCAGGTGAGAGTGAGTTGATTTAAGCTGCACTGTAGATTGGGAGGGATTAGTTACATCAGTGGCAGACTTATATCACTGAAGGTAACTTTCCTTGTAACGGTAGCTTTAATGAGTGTTTTTCTAAAACAACTCTTGTTTGGTTTCCTACTTTGTAAAATTAACTTGGCTTGTGGAAAATTAAACTGTTATTTCTGACGTCACAACAACTGAACTGTATGTAAGGCACACTGTAACTCTTTGGACCCTGAGACTTCATACAGAAAAGGGACTATTTTTTTCTTAATCCATACAATAAAAAATTTACAGAAATTGTGTGTGCTTCTGGACATTTTTTGCTACTTCTGAGTTACTTAAAATGTTTTCTCTGCAGATAGTTACTGCTTTTCTTTTTCCTAAAATCAATTTCAAATACTAATTCATATTGTTACATTACTGTTCATACTGCCACTCTGCATTACTTCATTTTGATGTTATAAAACAAAACACAGGTGACTTAGTACAGAGTTAATGTCCATTAGAAAATACAAAATTGACTTGCAGATTAATGTTATGAGCCATAAACAGCATTGGGCTTTCATAGTTTCCCAGGGATGTGTGTGTTCATGTACAGCAGTTGGGAGAGGTTAGTTTTCTAGATAAACACTGGTACACATTTTCCTGTGTGACTGAAAAGACACCAAACATACCCTTTCTGCTTGACGTGAAACTGACGAAGTGTTCTTTTCTATGTCTTTACGTTTTAGAGAATTTAAGGGGGGGAAATGGTATTCTGGACTTTAACTTCTCTTTTTAAACTTTCATAGTAGTAAGAAGAGATTAACTGTTTCCACATTCTCATAGGACTTCTGTGGTTCTGTGAATCGTAGGAGGAAATGTGGTGTTACTGTCAGTCTGATTATGCAATAAACAGAATGAATTACTGTTTGGATTCTACACGACTTTCTGATTTGAGGGGTTTTTGTTTATTTTTGTTTAATTTGGTTTGGAATTGTTATTTATGTGTTTTCTTAGGTAACCACAGGAAACAGCGTGCAGCTGGCCACTTTTGCTAATCTTGTGGTCAGAATTGAGGTGGTTGCTTCTGTTTGATGTGGTCTGATTTAGATAGCAATGGTAACACTCTTTTGTCATAGTGAGGAAGATGCACATGTATGAGTCACGGGTAAGTAGCTCTGTACAGTGAGCAAGTATTGTAGAAAGTGTTTGACAACTCCTCTTTTGAGACCAAACACAAGATGCATCTCTATGTGGTATTGTGGACAAATGTTTGTTTCATGTAATTTCATCACTAACCTGTAATTTATTGTTAACTTTTATGTAAGCCCCCTTACATAAACGCATTTTTTCCTTGGCCCCTCTGAGGACAAACATCTTTATTAGAACTTTAATTGTTCGGGTAAGTTTTTTTAAGCAAAGACTTCCAGTAAGTGAAAAGTTGTTGTTTCTGCTTCAGTTGGAGGTGAGAATGTCACCTCTGTGTAACGGATTGATAAAGATGCTCAGGAAATAATCTGGATGTAAGGGAGTGTTCATTGGCCCCGTGCATGGTCTGCTTATGAAATCTGTTATTTTAAGTGGTTTTCTCTCCCCAAAATAGGTATATCTCATCTATGAGTCACCTAATTAAAAAGCTGTTTGATCAACAAGTGGTTAAGGGTTGAGGGATCAAACCATACAGGACTATACAGGCATGCACATTCTTGTTTCCTCCATGTGTAATACTCTTCTGACTGGAAAACATTCTGCTGCTTTTTGCAAGGATTTGAGTCTCTTTTCCTTTACAAGATACTTGTTTTTGTACTGACTTAGGGTAGGGAAAAACATAAAACTGGCTTGCCTCAGATAAGGAAATAATACTTCTTTAATAAAAAGTCAGACTATATTTTAAGACTGTTACAGTATGTCATAGGTTATGACTTTCATTCTGACCGAAGTTAGAAACTTATCTTCATGGTTTCGTCCACTTCATCTTCTCTTGACAGCTTTTTCAGAATTAATTTTCTTAAGTAGCCTTCTTTCTCAAAGGCCAAGAACATTCCTTGTTCTAGTGAGTATTCAAACTTAAATGCTCTGTAGCTACAGGATGTAAATGTCTTTTTGAAAAAGATTATGTTACTTTCACCAGGAATGTCTTTGGGAACTTCTCCTTCCTGAGGAAGAAAAAGGGAATGGGTTAGTCCCAGCAGAAGACCTGAGCAGTTTTGTTTCAGCTCACTGATGTTTGAATTCTTCATTTTGCCTACTTACACATACAGAATGTATGGAAAGATGATACTTACTCTAAATCGAACTGTCGTTTTTCCACATTCCTTCTCACAACACATGTAATAATTTTTATCTTCTACCTGGACGCTGAATGCAACAGGCATCCCTGCTGAAGGTGTAGTAGTTTTGTAATAGTGAATGTTGAAGTGCATTCCCTTGCCTAAATAGAAATTGTTTATTATTAGCAGTTTGCTCAGGAGAGAGTGGCAACAACTTAACTGTATTATGTCTTACCATTTCACTGTCAACTGGTGTCTTCTCAGGATACTTTTCTGTCAGGAGAGCCAAGACTGAATTTTTTACACTGCTGGTAGCATATATTTGAGTTTCTGCACTCATTCAGTAACTGAGATTTTGGATTTGTAAGAAGGCATGTGAACTTGCCAGTTAGCACGGCTAGGATGTTCAAACCCTTTTACGTGCATGCATAAAGTGAAAATTAGATTTGTAAATAGTCATCTGTAAATCAGATTATATCTGTATATGTATGTTCAGCAAATACAGTTCTGAATTGCTGAGCTCTCCCACCCCAAGTCAAAGCCAAAACCACAAGTATTGTGTTTACTACTGTTAGAAGAAAGCAAGAGCTTTCAGTACTCTGTTTAATCTGTTTAAACCTAGAAATGTTTCTGCATTTTTTTTTCTGGTAATCCAACATACACGCCCCCCCCCAAAGACATTAAAAGCTTAGTTTGTGATCACATTTAACCAAAAAAAACAGCTCTCTTAGCTTTATTATTCAAAATGAATTTTAAGTCTTTACTCTCTCACCATTGAGTGAGTGAGCACTAAGAACAAAAGCACATCTAGAATTAAGCCGTAGTGCAACGGTTATAGTAAATATTTGAACAATGGTCTACCAGATTTCATCTCCTGATCTGTCACATCTTCAAAAGCTGCCATGTTTAAATCTGGTCGAACCACAAGCAACTGGCTATTTACATTTCGAAGGACTCGGTGGAGAGTTTTTTCCTTACAGAGGGCATCGCACTCCAGCCCTGTAGAAATGTTAAGGGTAGAGAGTCACATATTTTATCTGAGGAGTCTACCTCAGTTCTTAACAGTTTGCTACAGGCTTAATCTTGTCATTAAAATACGAGGTGAAACAAGTTCTTAGAATGGCAATCTCAAACAAAACTGAGGCCATGTCATTCTTCCTACCTCTGGCTTTTCAGGATTTCCCAGAATACAGCAGACTGTATATATATATGTATGATATATATATATATATATATGTGAGCAAGAGAAGCTACCATATCTGTTAATGAGAGTTCAGAAGCAACAGTTCTCTCACCCCACAATTAGAATTTCATTAAAAGGTCCTTCTGTACCTTAGGAAGAAATAGGAACTTTGGCTTCAAAAGGAGACTGCAAGCTGTAGTGCTCACTTTTACAGTAGACATGATCAGTTTGAAAACTTGCTCTCTCAGGCACAGTAAAGATTTATGGGTTAGTAAGTGTAAGCAGCTTAGTTCACATAAAATTGATAATGAAGTTAGTAAGTTATGAGCTTTCATCTTACCATCATCATCTTGGTTCCAAGTGAGCAATGAAAAAAGGAAAGAAAAAACACCATTAACTTCTGCCCCCACAAAAGAAACCATTCTACCCAGTTTTGTTCTGCAAGACTGGCAGCCAGCCACCTACACGTTTCCAGTTGTACTTCCCAGTATCACTAACTCACCAAGCTGAGCTGTTCTAACTACAGAGTGTGTTTTATTCGTGAGCATAACAAACTCAACAGGATGATGAAACTGCTAGTCATTTGAGAACTGGAGTTACCACCAAACCAAGAGGTATGTAGAATATTTTAGGGTTACTTAAGGGTGAGCAGCTCAGGTCAGTTTAAGCTTATAACCAAGGAATAAATGGTGTATAAATTTTTTGTTTTGTCAGCACCTTTATTCTAAGTGAGCAAAAGGACAAGAAACAATCATTGCAAATGGCTTTAAAAGAACAGACTGATTTCTAATTATCGTATGAGATAGGAAGTCGCCACTTTTTCCAAGTCCACCCCACAGTATTCCAACCCTTCTGAGTGTCCTTTACAGGAACATACTATATGAAGCACCAAATATTCCACTGACTCAGGTACTTGGCTAGCAATATTTCAGACTGACCTGTTAATACACTGGGACAACTGTCTCAAATTCTTCTTGAAGTGAACAACCTGGCTCCATAATCTAAGAATTGTTCCTCTAAGAGGGTGGGGATTGAAAGTGATTTGAGAATCGCTTGGGTAACAAGGGGGAAAAAACAGGATTCCACAAAAACAGGGATGCCAGCCCAAGGAAGGGACTGAATTGTGCATCAGGTTTTAATCTTCCATGCAGAAAGAAGACACAGTGTGTCTCTCCCAGCAGTGGGTAGTAATTACCTGCAAAATAGAGGCAGAAATTTTCTCCAAGTTGTACTGCACACACAGTCTTTTCGTTCATCTTCACTCTACAAAAACATATGGAGAGGATTCAGTTAAGAACAATGCTGCTTAATCTATAAAGCACGGGACTTCTTGAGCTAGTTCTCTTCTAGTGCACAATACTATAGTAGAGCTAGCCTGTTTCACTAGCTGTTAAACTGCTTTTTCAAATAATTGGTCTCCTGTTGATTTTATCATTATTCAGAATAACTTAGAGCATCCTTCAGGTTCTGTTATTTTACAGAACTTTTCATTTTTACACAACGTTACACAGGAGTAAATAATAACTCACTACCATTTTCTCTTTCTATGAGAATGATCATGTGTAGCTCCATGAACATACTTTATCAAATCAGTTATTTTCTCTTGTGTCTGAAGAAGTTGTCTTACTATTGCATAGTCATTTGATTTTCTGTTTCTAATTTGCAAATGGGAAAGTAACTAAAACTGGATTAAGCACCCTGTTACTGACCATTAAGCAATAAAAGTATTAAACTTATACAGACTTATCTTTACAGGTTCCCTTCATAAAAGACAGAACTTCCAAAAACCCCCTAACTTAGTCCACCTTAGACTGGTCCTTGGAAAGGGCTGTGTTTTTTGTATCTGGAGCTGGAATTTGTTCCTATAGAAGTTCCTGTAGAAGAATACCTGTATTGACTAGAATTAAACAGTAAAGTCTGGTATTTCAGCAACTGTATTGCCGTTGGGATGGTTGCCACTGGAAAGAATAATTCTAAGAAATAAGCACTCAATTAGTTTTATTTTAAAACTGATAGTGATTATGATGATGTAATCTTCAACATTAAAAATAGTATCTCCTACCTGTAAAGAAAAATGAGAATAGGAACAAAGGGAATTATAATATGAAAGAGAAAGATGTAGCAAAGAATTTAGTTATTCTCTGGCAGTAAACAGTTCTAAAATGTCCTATGCCACTAATTTTGTGAAATGCAGGTTGCACTTCCTGTTTCCTTTAGGTCTGTATCTTGTTTTTTGTTCATTTTCCTAAAATGCTTTCTGTGTATGGGTGTTCTTCCCTGGTTTATTTATGTTTTTAGAAAAGGTATTTTTGTAAGTAGTCTAGACTAGGAATCAATCCTACTGTCAAGGCATTCTTTCCCCTTGCACTAGCCACAGAAGTAATAAATGTAGTAACTGTTAAACTGTTAAAGCTAGCTAAACAGTGGGAAGACCTGTGTCCAGCACTGGGATATTATTGTGCAAAGCTTACTTCTAAGGCTCTTTTTCACCATTTAGAATAGACTTACTGTACAGAACAAGAAACAATGGCAACTTAAATAAAAAAGCACTCTTCTACCTTAGGGATTGGGGTAGGGAAATCACAGTGATTTGTTTCCTTGTCCCTCTAGTAGAGCACTTTGAAGAATGTATTGAGAGTGCTTTTTTCTCCTCCCATTTTTATATGGTCTATAGTTCTAGATGGTCTGTGCAGAACAGACAGGTTCATAGCAGAGGACTGCATCTTTGTTTCCAAACATGCATACTGAAGCCTTTGAAATTAAATATAACATTATCATAAGAGTGCATGCCTCATATCTAGTGAAGTAAACCAAGAAGTGTAGGATTACTTTGGCCTAGACTGCAGAGAAGACATAGGCAAGACTTACCAATACATGATTAAAGGAGAAGGTGGCCCTTGGTTTAGTGTGGGAAACATAAGCCGACTAAACTTCTTCCCCCGATGTGTAGTAAAAGACGGTTACATCTTTTACCAAGCACATTTGTAAGCTAAAAAGGAGCTTTTAGCTGACTGTTCGAGGTACTGTGTAATAACTTGCGCCGCAGGGAAGAAAAGGAGCCGGGCCCGTCCCGGCGGGTCGTCCTCCACTCGGCGCCTGTATTGGAGCGGAGCCCATCAGGGATGCCAACCCAAGGGGAGGGCAAGGCTCTGCCGCTTGCTGCAGCCACAAGAAAGGAACAGTTGCCGATCCCACACAGTAGTGTTGTTCATTAGTAGCAAATGATTTAGGATTATCTCCTCCCTCGCAGAGCGGCGCACCCTGCCCAAGGAGGCAGCGGTGCACAGCCCTCCGCCCGATGCTCTTAATCGAGGGATGCGGCGCGTTGCCCGGGCAGGGCTCCTCCCAGAGTTTAGAGCTGAGGGCTAGGAGCCGGCTCCCAGACAGAGTTCCCCCTTCCTGCCCCTGCCGCTGCCGCTGCACCCCGGGGGAGAAGGCAGAGGGGCAGCGGTGATCCTTACCTCGCTCCTCGGCGGGCTGCGGCTGAAGGATGCGAGACGGAAGGGCGAGCGCAGCCGGAGGAGGGGCGGGGACCACCGGTGTATGCTCCTGCAGCCGGAGCCCACCCTTCGGGCGACGCCGGCCCGTTCCTCGCTCTCGTTCCCTCGGGCGACGAAGCCAAAAGCCGCTCGCCTGCGTGTCCAGCCCGGTCGGGACACGAAGGCTTTGCCCAGGCAAGCGTCACTGCCGTGTCACCTTCATGCGTTCATACGAACGGGGAGGAAACAGATCTCTGCTGTCAGAGCGGTCCTAGCGAGGGGGATTTTGTAGCGGCTTGCAACACGGTGCTACAAAATAAGCCGACCGAACGAACTGCAGGGAAAGTTTTGGACTGGTTCCCCAGATATCTGGCTACGTCTGCAGTTATTCAGCAGCACTTCCCCTCCGGGGTGGAGAAAGCAAATCATGCACATCTTGAGGTTACAAAGGAAGCTTTTTGCGACTCCCTTAGCTCACACAGATGTCGACAGAGAACACGTTTCTACACCAGCGGATTGCAGCCGGCTCGCTTGGTCCATGAAGTCTTTGGGAGCCGGAGAACCGGGTACTAGCCATCAGGACGTAGGCTTCCTCTTTTCCCCACACTTGCAAACTGCCTGTAAACATTGGGTCCCGTTGGGGGAAACCCGTTTAGCATTGAAAACACATTGCATGTATCTAGCTCTCCATAAGAACACCACCAAAGAATATACCATTGGTATCTGCTGGAAGACCCTCAAATTGTTTTCCATCCCTTTATATGTAAATAGCTTCAAGGGAGGAATTTAGGTTCCTCTCAGGGAAACACAACCAAAATCTGTGCCACACAGTTGAAACACCATTAATAGATGGGTCCTATTTTACCAGCTGTAAGTTGTTTCCCAGGCATGTATTAATTGCAAATAAATAAAACAGCAATAGGTGTTGCACTCAATTGCTGCAGTTCTGTGATGCTTTTTGGAAGTAAGTACTGCCGTTGGTGTTTGTGGAGTGCTTAATACAGTAGAAATTGCAGTGATGGCAAACTGTGTAGTGATGGGACAACTAGGGCCATGAAGTACCAGGTAGATCAACTCGGGAATGAATAATCGACCAATGTTTTGTATCATTTGTAAAACTTGGCAGTGTTAACTAGAAGCTTGGTGCATCCATTTTCTGTTTATAATGTTGATTAGCAAGGCATTCGCGTATTCAACTGTGTAGCTCAATGGGTAAATTGAAGAGTCTCAAGTTTTAATACTGGGCTGTGTGAAAAACCAAATCAAACAAAAAACAACCCCTCTCAAATTGCTTAACCAAGATAAAACCTAAGACCATAAGATGTTTTCTCACCTGTCTGCACACCTATTACTGTTGCTGGGGATAGAGGGTAGGTGTAACACGTATCTGTAAGGAGTGCATTACTGTCAGTATGATAAATCCAGGAAGGTAATTTTGAGGTCTAAGGTACATCTTTCAAGCTCACCTGAACAAATAATCTTACAAATAAAAGTACTGTCCATTGTACTAATAACTGTGGATTTAAGGCTGCTCTACCACAAGGAGTGTTGTATTTCACTCACATGTGCAGACAAAAACTGTGTGCTGCAGAAATTTATCTTCTTTCTTTAAAGCTCCTGAAACTAATGAAAATGATTCAGAAGAATGAAAAACAAAAAACCAAAACAAAACACCCCAGAGAAATCCAGCGACAGAGTAAAACCTCCTGTTTATGAGAGATAAGCAAAGAACAGTACATTTATGGCAGCTATTGCTTTCAGATAAGAAATCTATATTGCTATTTACAGACACCCACTTACACTGATTGAATTCCAGCCAGCAATATTACATCATCCCCTTTCAGCTTCCTGTTTTGTTACATGGCGTTCAGTACATGTGTGGAGTTGTGTTTACTTAAACCTGTATACCAGAGAGATATAAAAATCTGATTTAAACACCTAGATCTGGCTGATTTCAGTATGCAGCAACTGTAATCCTACCATTCCTTTTGGTACTTTATTTTAATGGTTAGTTCTTATGGGGAAGTGTGGGGGGAAATCTTTCTAAATTTAACTGGCTTCTGGCTCTGGTCTCCCATTTCTGTGCTTTTTCTTGGTAACTGTTTTGTAACAAATAGTTCCTTCCTGTGAAGTACAATCAAATTGCCTCTTGGTCTTTCTGAACTAAAACAAGCAGCCTCACCCTAATGTAACATACAGCAGTAACATGAATATCTGTACAATTGTTGAGAATGAAATGAACTTGGCCATGGCAGCATACTGTTTCTACTTTGGGGAAATATTTAGTTCTTGTTCTTTTAGTGGTTTAATTTCTTGTCCCGCGTTTTGACTTTCAGAGCCTATCTGGGTAGCATATGTAACGTTAAGACCCTTTCTGCTCTTAAACCCAGAAATTAAAGTTGAAAACCAAAAACAAACGAGAGGATTTTGGAAAGTCATAACTTGGCATAGCATGTACTATTTTTGGCTGACAACATTAAGTGTATTACTAGGAGAGCTCATCAGAATCATTGTGTTTAGTTTCTTCCTGTTGTAAGCAAGCCACCTCATCGTGTAATCTGACTCAAGTCATTTCTTGGGGAAACCAAATACAGTTTATTTACAGAAGTGAAGCACAGCATAAGGAAAATGAAGTCTTATGTTCCATTGTATAGAGAAAAAAAAAAAGTTGATCTTGGCAGTTGACTAATTTTAGTGACCTTAACTTATTTTAGTGACAGTAGTCTTTCATATTTTGCTAATTGATGGCTTGCCTTTTGAAACGGTTCCATTGACTGTCATTCCAAAATGTTCCAGTGATTCACATTGTGAACCAGTCACAGATGCTTGAAGATATGACTGGAACTGAGTGGACAGGGCAACACTTCAGCGACAGGTAGTCTCATGCTTTAGCTGGGATGGAAAGCTGCTTCCTGGGACCTCTGCATCAGGAAACGTTTTAGCGGGGAGCCTTGTTCTCCTCCGCTGGCCTTCCCCAGGTGGGCCCGGCTGCCCGAGCCCCAGCGCGGCCTGTACCCACCCTCCCCGGGAGCCGCCCCGAGCACAGCGCGGCCGCAGGCGGCCGGGGCCCGGCGCCAGGGCAGGCTCCAGTTGCCTCAGCGGCCGGGGCAGCGCCCGCAACTGGCCCACCGCGGCCCCCCTGCCCTGCGCCGGCCTTTAACGGCCGCGAGGACCGTTAACCGTGAGGAGAGAGGTCCGGGGAGGGGGGGAGGCTTCCGGGGCGGAGGGGGTGCCCCCGTGTACTTAAGGGTGGTGGGTACTGGGGAAGCATAGGGAGAACAGGGAGGGAGGGAGGGACAGGCCGGGTTTGGACAAGGCAGAATCGGCCTAAGCAGCTTGAGGCCGACCTTCAGCACCCTTCAGCACCCTTGGGAGCGCCTCGGCCCGGGCCAGCCTGGCACTCGGACCAGCTTGTCTTCAGCTCTGATCCGTTCTCTCGCCATGCTTGGAAGCTCTACCTGCCTCCAGTGAGGAGGAGAGCATCTTTGCAGAGGAGCTTAAAGAGGTGCTGGTTACAGGTTTTATGCATTTTTCTATAGATATGATTTCCAGACGCTCAAGTAACCATTTACCAAATACAACGTTATACTTCTGACCAGGCAACGATGACAAGCAACACTCAAAAGCCTGATGAGAGTAGAAGTAAACGTAAAAAAGAGATGGAGGTGAGCTGTGCTGTGTGAGGGAGGGTGGACCTGGACCACCTTCTGGCCCCGGGGCAGCAGGACAAGACCCCCCCAGTCCCATGGCCTTCACAGGCATTACAATGGGTTTCTTTCACCCTGAGAGAGGGCAAAGAGCTCCATGTTGGTTTATGTAGGTTAGCAGAAACACGTATGACTTTCTTGTGTATGCAAGCCATGCAGTTTCTCTTAGTGTTTGAAGAGCAATGAAATTGGGTATGCACTACAACACTGTTATGCAGGACTTCTAGAGAATAAGCTTCTGAAGTACACCAGTTTTTATTGACCAAGCTGGCACTTCCCACCCACTCCCATAGATGCTGTGCCTCTTTACAATGGATGGTGTCTGAAAACAGCCTTACAAGATCCCTTTTTTCCCTCAGTTAAACTCTACCTGTGCTGATCTTGTTTTAAATCCTAGAACCTGTTGGTTTTTGGTGTTTTGTTTTTTTTTTTTTTGTGCTCTATTATTAGAATGAAGCCTCAGAAAATCCTGAGTTGTCGTCCCTTGACAAAACAGATTCGGCTCTTTTGGAGGGCTCACAGTCCCTTTGCAAACCTGAACAACTGGAAAAAGTTTTAAATGGTGATGTATAAAATAAACAGAAAGTAACTATGTGGTCACCTGATTTAATGCTGAGATGAAAATTCATACAAAGGTTTAAATAAAATTACTCTTTTTTCTTTTAACAGAGATGAACAAGGAAATTACAAACTTGTTATCAAAATATGCTCACATTTTAAGGCAAGTTGACTTTGTCCTGTTTGTACAGCACTTTTCTAACTTCTCTAGATAAGATTGATTACTGTGGGTGCAGTTTAGAGAAATTAGCACTGAAAACCATTAAACACAGATTTTGGCAGAAAAATGCTGGTTTCTGTTACAACAGAGAACTAATTTGGACGGAAACCGAGTATTGATAGGCAACTTGTTTTTAAGAAAAGCATAAAAGCAGTTCTAGGAATTGAGAATGTTAATGGCATTAACTGATTTTAACTACAGATTTTTTCAATTAAGTGAGAGAGCAGCGATGGATGCTTCATATGTCCAAGAACTTGATGGAATCTTAAAAGAAGCGAGGACCATAGAAAACCACTTAAAACAGAAACGGGAGAGTCTGAAACAGAGGTTCATTGTGATCGCAAATAGTCTGCAAAGCTAAATGGACGTTATCAGACTGCAGAAATGCAGAGCAAAATTTGTAGTATATTTTATGTATTAAAATACAAACTATGATGAGTGCTATGATGTGTGTTTCGTAAATGTCCTATGTAAATATTTCCAGCAGTTCAGGAAACTTTCAGCAACTTGAGCACCAATTTAAATAAGCAGATTCAACACAGAGGGTAATGGTAATGAGTATAAGACAATACTAAATACCCATTTTAAATCCTATGGCTCCAAGGGATTCTACACATTAAACCATCTTTCCTTAGTTGTTGATCCTTTGCTTAGGCTGTCCCTGTGATTCTATTACTAAACAATAGTGGAAGCATTTGAAAAAGAAAGCAGAATAAATTTTGCATGGCTTGGCTTTAAGGCTGTGGATTTTCAATACACCTGAATTCAGGAGCAGCCATGGTATTTCTAATGTCACTGCTAAAGATGATTGTTTTCTTTTATTGTCACAACCACTCTTTTGCTCTAGAATATAGTGTAGAAACACTTCTACAAAACATAGAATTTTGTGATGTAAGCAGGACTTCAGATTATTTTATATTAGCAATTTTCTGTGGGTTTTTTGTTTACTTTTTTGGTGGGGTTTTTTTTTCTACTTTAGAAACTGTTTTGGTGCTAAAATCTTAGTAGAATGTACTTGCAACCTTATTTCCATTTTGTCTCAATATATAAATAAATTCAAGAAATCATCTAGAAATAGGGAAACTCTGTTAAGAATACTACTCTGGGAAATCTATAAAGAACTATGAAGTCTTAACTTGAAAATATATTTTAATACTTCTAGAGATTTCGAATGAAACCGAAGCCCTTTTGATATAAACATCAAAGCACATCATCAAAACTTTGCTGGTAATGTCAATAAATAACTAGATAATCTTAAAATAATCTCAAACTACATTGCTCTTTTATTTTGTTATTTAAATACATCAGTATTGTTTGCAGTATATCCAGTTTATTTAAGGAGGCTTCTGTAGTTTTTGTGAGCTCTTTTTCTTTCTTGTCATTTGACTCTGTTAATAAAGATAAAACATAAAATGTACAAAGCATAATTAGTACAAATTGTGAGGCTAATGTAATAAAGAAAAGTGCTGGATAGTCCTGTTGCTAGCATAAGATATATCTTTACCCCAGTACTGTGTATTAATTTTCTGTTTAAATTCTTTCAGACTTAATCCTTCTTTCCCCCTTTTTATTAGGTAAAAGCCACAAGCAAATGTGCTACCTGACAAACTGGTAGTATTTAAAGCAATTAAGGAGAGAAACTGACATCTAGGGTGAGATTTTACTAGGTATTTAGATGCCTAAAGATGCAGATATGTACTTAGTAGGATTTTCAAAGTGCCTAAGCATGTAAGCGCCTTAGATGCTTAGGAATTTTTGAAAATCCCATAAGGTGCCTATCTGTATCTTTAGCATCTAACGACTTTCAGAAAAATCACTTCACTAATCTACACCATATTTTCCAGTCTCTTCCTTTTTCCTAATAATCACATCTCGTCTTGTAATCAGTCTTGGTAATGCTCTTTAAAAGAAGAAAGTGGGAGAAAAATATTTTGGAAGTTTAATTTTCTAGAATATTTTGCTAAGTTTTTCTAAAATCTGTGATCATCTATAATGATGACAAAAAGCCATTTTAAATTGTCATCTGTGAAGTGTCTCAATTTAGAAATTTACCTATAATTATTTATGTAAGTCTTTAAAGGAAAAATACATGAATTTCATGACTTAAATGTCTGCCTGTTGTCAGAGTCAGAAGCCGGCTACATTTTATCTGTTTATGCTTGTGAAAATTATGCAATCTTTTTATATCACCAGTATTTAGATAACTTAGATTTAGTTTATTAGCTAATATATCCCAGTTGAAGACCTTCAGTTCTAGTATGAAGTATTATTAAGAAGCAGAACTTAGAAAACTAGTGGATGACATAAACTAAGTTTCTTCCCTTAGGCATCAAGAGGGTACAGACATACAGGGTTACTCTTGCAGCAGTTTGCTCCATTTAAAAACTTAATCCGATAAAACTTACTAAAACTATACTTCATAGACAAAGGAAGAACTGCTTAGTCTGGCATGCAGGTGCAGTTAAATTCAAGACATACCTCTCTAAATGATGACTCTTGGTTTTTTACAGGGATTTCTTATACAGTTGGTTGTCATTAGATGTTATAATTTAGAGCGGGATCTCTGTGGTAGCAAGAAGATTTTAGATTTTGAAGAGGCACTGAAAGTCAAGTCAGCAAGCATGGCCACAGTAACCTGGCTGAGGTTATGAACAGTGTCCTTATGCTTATTAAAGGGAAGTCATTCAAAGCTTTGTAAGATTCTGAAATAGGTGTATTAAGAAATTGTTTTGAAATTGCTAAGAGCACCAAAGCTCCTGGTTTTGCTGCATAAAACATGTTTGCTGCATAAAACAATGTTTGCTGCTGATAAATATTGATCAACTAAAATAAATAAAATATGTAGTTTTATAAAGCGCCAACTTGACATGTAAGTTCAGAAAGTTTTATTTAAAATAAACCAGTCTCATTTGAAGTTAAAAAATACTTCAGATATGGAAATATCCCCTTACTGGTTGCTTTCATACATAAGCCCCTTCCCTTTTAAAAGGGAACCTTCCATAATTACTTTGCTGTAAGAAAATGCAGTGTGGGGTTGGTTTGTGTATGTGTTTTTTTTGTGTTGACAGCCTTTCAGTGTTCCGCTCAACATCAATATATATAGGAATAGCCATTATGCAGTGTTTTTCTTCTAAACAATTAGAAAATAAAATGTTACTGTTTTCCTATTCATTGACAATTTGTCTACCCTGCTAGTGATGTTTCTGCACTGATTGCTTCTCTTGGGTATTTTGGTATGTCTTGGGAGAAGCAAACCAAGTCTTGTACTCTCTCCTTATGTGAAACTGGAAGTTCGTTCTGTCTCTGAGGAATGAGTACACATGAAATCAAACTGTCACCAATGCCATCAGGATCCGCTTTCCAGTTTTACTGAAGGAGGTTTGAACAGAAAATTAATTGGCTTTAAAGCTCCCAAATCTGATCAGCAAAGCTCAGCTGGTCACTATGTTTTCTTTAAGCCTTTCCTCCTGGTCTTTAAGCTGCAGTGCCTTAGCAAGTTAATAAGAACGTCTAAGATGACAGATCAGTAGCAGAATTTTTCTAAAATCTAAAACCAAAAATCTAAAAAAAAAAAATCTGAATGGATTTTTCTAAAAAAATGTGGAAACACCTTAAACAAAGTTCTGACCCTCTTGAAGTCAAGGGAACTTTTGGCAGTGAGTCTTCTGCATGTCTGACCTTGCTGTCAATACTTCCACAGTGTGGAAAGTGTAAATTATGACAACTCAATACTCAGTTCCTCTCATTGCTCTTCTATTATTTAAAAGCTAGAAATTGAAAATAGCAGGTAATACAGAGACTGCTTAGGTACGCAGCGAGAATTCTTCCATGACAAAATGCTAATGGTGACTTTTTTACTTAAGACGAAGGTGCCTTTTAGCATAGATGTAGGAATGTGGAATAGAAATGAGAATGTGGAATAGAAAATGAATGTGGAATAGGAAAAGACCAAATTGAG